TGGTAGTACAAAACTACAACTGAAGTATGTTTGCCCAAGTTCTATGATTGATATACCATTGTTATAGTATAGAGTGAGTGCTCATGAAGTATGACCAAGCTTGGATGGGACTAGGTAGTAATAAAGCAAGATATTTCACTGCTAAGTGGTAACAGATGCAAACTCCACTACAAATTCATCACGATCTCCGGCGATGAAGGCATAGAATATAGTCAATCCACTTATAACCAATGGCGTAGACTTCACTCTCTATAGCTATAAATAAATAATCAAGCTTAAAAAGTTGCCTACCTTGCTTACTTTTAGATATAGATACCAGAAATAGAGCACGCAGTAGAATTGACACTGTTGAGGTAATCATGATCTTTGGTGATGAAGACATACAATATAGTCAATCCACTTATTACAACGGGCTTAGACTCCACTCTCTATAGCTATACTTGGATGAACAGGCTTAAGAAGTAGTCTACCTTGCTTACTTATAGCTATACATCATGAAAATAGAGTAAACAGTTAAATTACTGTTTCGAGGTAATTACGATCTATAGGAATAAAGACATGCAAGCTGGCCTATTCTCTCGCTATCAAAGGCGTAGATCTCATCTCCTATGACTAGAGTTGGATAAACAAGCTCAAGAAGTAGTCTAGCTTGCTTAGTTATAAAAATATACCTCCTTAACGTGATTCAGAAAGTATCAAAAATTCTCTAAGTTTCGCTTGAAACGATGAAATATACTGTAAATCAACTTCTAGAAGGTCAATTAGTGTTCTACTTAGCTTGAACAGTAAGTATTCATCATAAGGATCACGAAAATCAACCTCCTGATGAGTTGATGAAAAAAGTCATATCACGAGAAACCAAGGTGTATACTGAAGTTACAGAGGTTTCACTGCAAGTACTCTACCTTCGCCGTCAGCATAATATTAATGAGAAAGTCAGTGAAGCATAACAAGTAGTTCTACTGGACAAATAATCCATCTATAACCATAAAGGAAGGATACTGGGGCAAGAATAATGCTTTGTAATGCTTACAGGAGTCATTTAACCTTATATAAGTGAAATATAAGCTCATATTACATACAGTGTATTTTTTTGCATAAGACCTTCACACACAAAAGTCAACAATGCAAGTACAACAAACAACAAACTATGATTAATTTACCATCTCCTATGACTAGAGTTGGATAAACAAGCTCAAGAAGTAGTCTAGCTTGCTTAGTTATAAAAATATACCTCCTTAACGTGATTCAGAAAGTATCAAAAATTCTCTAAGTTTCGCTTGAAACGATGAAATATACTGTAAATCAACTTCTAGAAGGTCAATTAGTGTTCTACTTAGCTTGAACAGTAAGTATTCATCATAAGGATCACGAAAATCAACCTCCTGATGAGTTGATGAAAAAAGTCATATCACGAGAAACCATGGTGTATACTGAAGTTACAGAGGTTTCACTGCAAGTACTCTACCTTCGCCGTCAGCATAATATTAATGAGAAAGTCAGTGAAGCATAACAAGTAGTTCTACTGGACAAATAATCCATCTATAACCATAAAGGAAGGATACTGGGGCGAGAATAACAAAGGAAACAACTTTATTCAATAAAAAAATAAGAAAAATTATGCATTGGAATGGCACTATGATATTTTGTGGCTAGGCTCTGATGCCTTGCGACTAGTGTAATTTGATGAAAATGAGCGTTTGAAGTATCTCCACTTCAGGATATCATCTTCATGGTATGGACTCGGGATGCAGAGCAAAAGGAATAAAAGTTAGAACCGAAATTTACGTAATTTCATCAAAGGTACGGTCGAGGAGGTAGATTTTGGACTCAGATTTTGCCCTCAAATTGCCCCCTTCCGACGTTAGTGCAGTTGATTGTTGTAGTATTTTGTAATAAAAATGGTCTAGGATCTATCCCCTACCGGTATAGAAGCTTTTCCTATCAAAAAACTACAAGTATCAGCCATATTGATCAACTGCTAGTCAATAGTAGATCGACGAAACAGAGGACAAAAATTGAGCACTTTTGACTGCAACGCTCACGTAGAAAATTTCTGAGCTACCCAGTCAAGTGTCAGATACCAGTATTTCGCCCCATCAGCCTTCATTCAACTAGTATAGATGTAGAAATTTGATAAAGGTTCACTGAAGCACCATTGCATCAAAAAATATAAGCTGCGAAAAATTTAGCAATGAAAAATCTCTGAAAATTTTTGTGGCTAGGCTCTGATGCCTTGCGACTAGTGTAATTTGATGAAAATGAGCGTTTGAAGTATCTCCACTTCAGGATATCATCTTCATGGTATGGACTCGGGATGCAGAGCAAAAGGAATAAAAGTTAGAACCGAAATATACGTAATTTCATCAAAGGTACGGTCGAGGAGGTAGATTTTGGACTCAGATTTTGCCCTCAAATTGCCCCCTTCCGACGTTAGTGCAGTTGATTGTTGTAGTATTTTGTAATAAAAATGGTCTAGGATCTATCCCCTACCGGTATAGAAGCTTTTCCTATCAAAAAACTACAAGTATCAGCCATATTGATCAACTGCTAGTCAATAGTAGATCGACGAAACAGAGGACAAAAATTGAGCACTTTTGACTGCAACGCTCACGTAGAAAATTTCTGAGCTACCCAGTCAAGTGTCAGATACCAGTATTTCGCCCCATCAGCCTTCATTCAACTAGTATAGATGTAGAAATTTGATAAAGGTTCACTGAAGCACTATTTCAGGATTATAGTGTGCTTGAGGTAGGCTATGATACAGCTGAGATATGAGAGGATTCTAATGACTTACCTATTTTCGTATGGATGGAGTTGAGCTCTTGTTTTAAATCTTGTTTCTTTTTGACTTGATAGTGATTGGAATGTATAATGAAGGCCTTTGAACAGTCACAGACTCATTATACTTGAATGATACTCGCTACGGTCTTGATTATTTCCAATGCTAATAGTGCGATGTAGGGACCCGGAGATCAAATATTCAGCTAGAAAATCGCTACTTGGCTCCGGTCTAGTTTGGCTGTTTGTAAGCGCATAGTACTGCCTTGTAGCGTTGATGATACAAGATAATAATATAATTTGTATGGTATGGTGCTATATATGTGAAGCGAATGGCTTGTATGTTGCATCAGAATGGATACATGATAATAATAAGTGTTTTTGTTGATTGTTGTATGTACCGAGACTGGTGGTACTGTAGTATAGTATTAGTAGGTAGATGGATGCTAGAGAGCGTTGGGTAGAGGTCCTATGATTGTATGCAGTTGCCTTGTAGGATCATGGGAAGTATTATGATGACTTGTGCTGGATGCGATTTAGACTTAGAGAAATTCAGAAGGCGATGGTAGGCACCCGGAAATCAAATATAGTGAGTGCTTGAGCACCATGCTCTAACTGCACGGGATGCGCGCGTAGAGGATGGTGCAAGCAGCAAGCGCAGTAGCAGTACGCGATAAGACACGCGAGGAAGCGAGAAAGGCGAGGAAGCGAAAAACACGCGTAGCAGAGTAACTGAAGGCAGGTAGCTGATTTTAGACTTAGAGAAAATAATAATGTATGTAAGTTGATTGTTGTATGAATGTAATAGAGTATATAGACAGACCCGGAGATCAAATACTCTCAAAGAAAATAGCGCCTAGCAACGATGCTGTACTAACTGCACTAGGCAGCTTTCTGCACTCGTAGCTAGACGCTAGAGGTTGGGGTTGTCTATAGGTTGGTGCTATAGTATGGGGTGGGGGTAGAGATCGGTAAGAGGAAACACACGAGATGCTTACTCTTACACTGATCGCTGAACAACGGCTGAACCTCAGTAGATCGTAGTACAAAGACTACTCTCATACGTACAGTACCGCGTTCTAATTAAGTCGTCTACAAAAGATCAAACGATACCAACATATGAAATTTTGATACGCAAAAGCACTATACAATGTTGACCCGAAGGCTATTCTTATATACGAACATTGGTATCGAAGTACCGTCCCATGCCACAATTGATTCTGACTTAGAGGCGTTCAGTCATTATCAGGCAGATGATAGCTTTGCCGCATTGGCTGTTCAACCAACGGCATTACCAAATATCTGAACCAACGGTTCCTCTCGTACTAAGTTGGATTAGTGTAGGGACAGCAACTCATCAGTAGGGTAAAACTAACCTGTCTCACGACGGTCTAAACCCAGCTCACGTTCCCTTTTAATGGGTGAACAATCCTACACTTGGTGACTTCTGCGACACAATGATAGGAAGA